TAATCTCAGAGCCTGAGCCCACATTCCGAAGCCAAAAAGCCTGTGCCAGGGGCCGATGATGAGGTGGATCAGCGTGTGAACCCTAAACCCTAACCGTTAACCCGTAAACCGTCAGAGCTGAACCCTAAGTTCAGGGTTTGGGAGCTTGTGGAGTCCATGATTGCTCATGTTCTTGTGTGGGTGGAAACGGGTGTCTTTCAAATGCAGCTTTCATGTAGTAAGCATCCATTTGCTCAGGGTCTCTCTTGAGCCCTGAAACTGTCATATTGTGATCGGGGTACACTTGCTTTGTTTTACTTATTATATGCGGGTCGCAGGAGTTGGAATGAATAGTAGTTGTACACATGTCACTTACTTCGGAGACCCCAACATCCGTAAATTAACGACTGTTGCATAGATTTCTGGAGTGTTGCTTGATAAGGTAATACCACCCCGTCCCTGTCTGCCATATCAACATTCTTGCGCGCTTCGTGAACACATGAGCTTGGATGATCTGACCCAGAAGATGTAAGAACAGGTCCTGGAAGGCACTCCGTTTGTACCGGAAGCCCTGTGTGTGTGAGAAAGAGATAGAGCTCCACCTTACAACCTGCAGTTCCCGAAGGATTTGTCCCAAAATCTCGTCTGTCCAGTTGCTCTGTTCGTTAATCCCCCAAGGCCTGTAATGTACAGAGCCCTATATGCAGAATTTTAAAGGCCGTCAACGCTTAGAGTCATACACGGTACGGGGTCTGCCAGTACCCTGAGCGCCTTGTAGAACCCAAGGGCACTAAGTTGAGAATGTTCAGAGCTCACAGCAGAGCCAATAGACCCACAGAGACCCCAACTCGAATATCCAGAAAAGTTTAGGGTTCAGGGCTTAGGGTCTGGGGATGGTAACCTCGATAGAGCCCTTGACTTGACAGTACTTCTTTTGCTAACCCCTATGAGTCTAGCTTCTATAATCCCCCTGGGTATGGAGTACAATACTTGAATATCTTTTTTTGGGCAGCTGTTCCTTAAAGGAACCATTATGAAATAAAAGTCTATGCTTTTTTTGGCACCTGTTCCTGAAAGGAACCATTATGACATGAAAGTCTATACTTTTTTCTCCCTGGCTACTTCAAAGTCCGGTCCCAGACACATCGCCAGCGATCTTTTGGCAAACTTGCCATGTCCAGGCCCAGAAAGCCTTGTTGGAGAAGTTCAAGGCCCGGCTGGGTGCTTGTAACATCATAGCAAGGTAGGGCTTTGGGACATTATATATTTTTCCCTTTATTGGGCTTTACGCCCCACTGGCTATGGGGCTTGCCTTAAATAGGGCTAGGGTGTCGAGTTCTGGGTGCTGAGCATTTTAGGGTGAAGACTTGTAGATTTGAGGACATGTTCTACACAAGGTGCTAGTTGTTGGATTTCTTGGCCACTTGTTTGACTCGGAAAGCCTCAAACCATACAGCCCTACATCCTCCAGAAGCCCGCCAAGAAGCATGTTCCCCGTTGTAGATTTGAGGACATGTTCTACACATGGTGCTAGTTGCTGGATTTCTTGGCCACTTGTTTGACTCGGAAAGTGCTGTTAGTAAGACAAGATGGCTATGTGACGAGTGTGGGCGTTTTAGGCGATGCAATACGGGCTTTTCAAGTCAAAACAGTCTCCAAGTAGGATTTAAGGTATGGTGGTCTCGGCCTCAAACCCAGCCTATGCAAGATGTTACAACCGTGAACAGCAGTGTTTTGGCTTTCGTCCTTGTGGCTTGCTGGTAGGGTTCAGGGTTGAGGGTTCAAGGTGTCTTGGCGAAAGCCTGATGTGCCGCGGCCTACTTCCTGCCGTCATGCGGCGTTAGTTCATTTGTTGCCGGGTATTGTCCAGTTTCCCGCCACGACAGGAGCCGCAGCACTTTATGACACCGAAGGACTCCGATGCAGGGCTGGACTTGTTTGGTGTTGTCCGAAGTTATGAGTTGGAGACCCCAGGCAAGGGATGGCTCTGATAGCACCAGTATGTCGGTGATTTGAACTTCAGACTTCAGTGTTGCTGCTTCAACTTGGATGTGAGCGTCGATGGTACGACTTCACCCCAGACACGGCAGCTAGGCTGTGCATGAGGCCCCAAAGCCCGTAACCCCTCAAGCACTAAAGCCTAAAGCCCGAAGCCCCGAAGTCCCAAACCTCAAGCCCCGAAGCCCTAAAGTCCGAAGAAAATGATCCGGAACTCTGTATTATAATGGAGCCCCCCAAATCCCAATCTAATTAAGGCCCCCACATGAAACCCTGAACCCCTAAACCGTAAAAGGATCCGAAACTCCTTCCGGAAAAGATGCTGGACGTGGACTCAAGGCAGCTAGAGAGTGCCAAGGACGCGAGCTTCAGGGTTTAGGGCTTAGGGTTTAGAGTTTTAGGGTCTAGGGTTTTAGGGTTTAGGGTTTAGGGTCCTAGGGTTTAGGGTTTAGGAATGGAAAGTTGTACCACAGAAGCTTATACATGATTAGGAAGGGTATTTCTTAGAGCCTCAGGGTTCCTTACTGTAGCTGCAGCAATAGTATCTTGCACCCCAAAACTTCCAGAGGTTAGGTTTTAAGGTTTAGGGCTTCGGGTTTGGGGTTTAGGGCCACTTGTGTTCCAGGGATCTTGAAGGTTTTCTATTATTTTTCAGGGGTCTGGACGGATTGTCACCAATTTACAGGGTCTGATCGGATTCGAATATGGGGTTTTAAAGGGTTTTGCAAGGGTTTCTATAAAGGTTCGAACCCCGTTTTTAATTTAATTGTCTGCTATATGCTTGGAACCTATGCCTTATACTGGCGGGTTTGTAACCCGACGTTCTGTTGAGTTGTAGCCACAGGTAGGGATTGGCTATGTAGGCGTTGCTGGCGTAGGTTTACTGAATTTGCATTTCAGTTTGTTTGGGGTCCAGGCAACAACTGTGACTCGGAACAACCTGACTTTTAGGGACATATGTAAAGACTTCACAGCAAAGAACCCTAAACATATACGCAGTTTGTTTGGAACCAGGTAAATTTAACACATATTATATATATATATATAGACAGAGAGAGAAACATGAGCTTAATCATGCATGTTTAGAAACCCTATTCTTCAGGTAAAATATATTCAAAAGCCATAGACCCCAAGGCCATAGTCGCCTGCAGAAACATGTGCCCTCTGTGTCTGACTTGAGGTGTGATGTTTGAACGCTGTGTTGCTACTCAAGCTTCATGGCACAACAAGACCTTAGGCCCGTGTTGGCAATCACATGTATAGTGTAAAGAGGCAACCGCCTAAAGACATGCCATCCTGAGCAGTGGTCACTTTCGTGCTAAAAAGAGCTTACGCTTTACGGTGTGCGCATGGTCCTCTGGCTTTTGCTGCTTGCGAACTAAGACCAGATAAGGCCTCGCTGCTGTTACCAATTCGTTGACAGAACTACAAGTTCTATAGGTTATGAGCGCCCAAGCAGAAGGCGACTCCGCTACTACGAGGCCACAGCTGTATGGTGCAGTGGATAACCGTGCTGGAATGGTGAATGGTGTTGTGAACGGAAATGGGCGATCGGGCCCTGCTGGAGAGCCTGTGAGCTCGGGTTTGGAAAATCCGAACCTGGGAGATGTTGGCCAGTTTGCAGATAGACCCGTACCACCTGTGCAAGTTCAAGCGTTGCCACCACCGGAACCAGTCGATCCACCATATGGTGTGGAACCGCAGCCGGCCGCGAGCGTTATAACTCCGAGTGCGCGTAACGATGATCCTGCATTACGTGTTTTTCCTTCACCACAGACCCCTACGAGTGCGGTGAGAGTTCAAGAGTTTTTCTCTGCAAGGACCCAGACTTCTTCGACGGAGACTCAGGGGGCAAGATGGATGGCACGTTTTACAGAGTTCCTACGCCACACGGCAACTCGGGAGCTACGGGACTGGATCGTGTTATGGATGGTCTAGGTCTACCTCATGGGCAAAGGGATACAGAAGCCACAGTATCAGCGGTTCAGTATAGTTTTTCTCCCCCGGAGCAGCTACCACCTTCGGGAGCCAGCGTCCCAGCTGTTCCAGGTTCGTGGACGCATGCTTCACCTCCACCAGCTCAGGAGGCTCTTCCCCTATTTGGACAGGAACAGATAGAAAGAATGAGACGGGCGAGTGTTGAGTATCCCTTGATTTATGGAAGAACGCAGCCTTCGGAAGATTCAGATCGCAGCTCTCGTCTACAGGCGGAGGTCCAGCGTCAGCTGGAAGAATACAAAGCAAAGCAAAGGGTCGAAGTGGAACGACTGCAGCTGGAGATTCAATCACTTCGTGCGGAAAGGGACCGTGAGCGAGTACTTGAGATTAATCCAAGCCTTCAACCCCAGAGTGCTTCAGTACCAGCAGGGAATCCAAGCCTTCAACCCCAGAGTGCTTCAGTACCAACAGGGAATCCAGGCTATCAACCTCAGAGTGCTTCAGTACCAGCAGGGAATCCAGGCCTTCAACCTCAGAGTGTCCCAGTACAAACCGGGTGTCCTGGTCTTCAGCAATGCGGCTTACCTCGAGGAGTTCAACTACCAGGTGTTTTGAGAAATCGTGGAGAGTTTCAGGGGCTCAATGCAATGGATTACGGAGGTCTACCTACTTCTATGAACGGGATGTCTGTGCCTCCAGGTCTTCAACCTCAGAGTGCGTCTGTACCAGCAGGGAATCCAGGCCTTCAACCTCAGAGTGCGTCTGTACCAGCAGGGAATCTAGGCCTTCAACCTCAGAGTGCGTCTGTACCAGCAGGGAATCCAGGTCTTCAACCTCAGAGTGCGTCTGTACCAGCAGGGAATCCAGGTCTTCAACCCCAGAGTGCGTCTGTACCAGCAGGGAATCCAGGTCTTCAACCTCAGAGCGTACCAGTACCAGACGGGTATCCAGGTTCAGTACCACAACAGTCGTCTGTGCCACAGGGTCACCAAGGTCAGCAGAGTGGTGGAGGACCGTCGTCAAGCGCAAAGCAGTGGTTGTCCGGAAAGGGGTCTCAGGATCAACTGGCTGTCCTAACCGATGGAATGGTGCAGCTACAAGCAGCGATGTTGAAGCAGTTAGACAAGCATGCAGATGGCGAAAGGAGTCCGGAGACAGTCAAACCTGGAACCCAGGCTCTACCTCCTCTGAAGGAAGTCACGGCCGAGACGGCCTGCGTTGACATAATGGATTGGTTGGAGATGATCGATGGCCCGATGTCTGACCTTTCAGATAGCAGTGCTACGTGGTGGCGCAAGGTCATGATGGAAGCCAACAGAGCATATGGAGTGTGGTCTCTTGCGAGTCCGATGGACAAGCTTTCTGTGGAGCCGAGCGTCTTGGACCTTGAAGATGGCAAGGTCACGCGTCTTAATAGCCGAGCTGCGGCCATGATAGTCAATGCACTCCACGAGGGTGTCAGGCAAGAAGTGGTGGCGAGGAGGCTGGCGGGCTCTACGGTGCGTTTGGTCTTCAGGCTGTTAACCTTGTATCAACCGGGAGGTGAAGATGAGAAGTTCAAGATTTTACAAAATCTTCAATCACCTCCTCTTGAACATGATCCAGCGCGTGCTGTCACAGCTTTGAGGTCGTGGAGTAGATGGCTGAGGAGGTGTCGTGAGCTTGGCGTCCAAACACCGGATCCGAGCTTGTTGGCCCGAGGACTGAACAACCTGGTGAAAGCCGTTCTTGAAAAGAGCCAGGACGCCAGCTTCCGCACAGCCCTTGTGAAGTCAACGCTGCAGGTTGATACAAACCCGAGCTATGACAAGATCGACAGCTACTTCAAGCATTTGGTGGCGGAGTGCGAAGCTTTGGCTGTTGCAACCACACCTACTACCAATGCCCCGAACGCCAATGGAAGGCCTGAACCAAAGCTGAGACCCATGAGGACTGATGCAAGGACCCAGAATGGACAACAGCCAACGACTACTCCGAGGCCGCCATCTCCTTCACCTACTACAACTTCGAACGAGGATGGCAACAAGAGCGGCACTCCCAAATCCGAGGTGCCCTGCAGATTCTTCGGAAAGACGAACAAGGGCTGCATCAGAACGTCAAAGTGCCCATTCAAGCATTCGTGGGAAGGCTTGGACAAAAGGGACAGATGCATGAACTGCGGCGGCAAGGGTCACCCCTCCAAGGAGTGTCCGGCTAAAAAGTCACCACAGAATCCCAACGGCTCGTCAGGGCGCGACAACAAGGACAAGCCTTCGTCATCTACTACGACCCCTGCTACGAAGACGGTCAAGATCGACGAAAAGCCGGAGGTCAGCCCAATACCCTCTCGTACTGAGGAGGGTCCCTCGGCGAGTGACCTTAAGGACGTTTTGGCTGATGTCGGGAAAATGTTGAAGGTGATGCAGGCTACAAGCTTGAAGGCTATCAGGGTGAAGTGCTCTGACTACCCCGAGGACTTGCCGGATGTCAAGGAAGGTTCTCAAAAGAAAGCCGGTGTGGTGTGTGAAGAAGTCGGGACTTCCATGCCTGAGACCGCGCCAACACCAGAGGACAAGCCTGATGGACTCCTTGATAGTGGTGCCAGCCACCCAATGAGACCGGCATCTGAAAGTGAGTATGGTCAAGGGTCCCCAGTTTCGGTTACGCTGGCGGGTGAGGATGTGAAGGTCCTTCGGCAGAACAACCAGGGGACGATCTTAGTGAAGGAGAATCAAGGGCCGATCCAGTCCATCGTACCCCTCGGCGCCGTCATCCAGGAGCTTGGTTACACGTTGCACTGGAGTCCGACCCAGTTGAAGCTCACGCATCCAGTGCGAGGACCGATTCGGGTGAAGATCCACAACAACTGCCCTGAAGTTGCGGCATGCGATGCTTTGGCTATGATCCGCGAGTTGGAGTTGAAGCAAGTGCAGACTTTGAATAGTCAAGTTGAAACCTTGAGGGCCCGGTTGGAGGTCTTAAAGAAGGAGGACGACCGTGATTGGTGCGAACTGATGAAGGAGTACAAGGGATGCGGCAAAAGAAGTGTCCTGCTAAAGGCCCTGCTCAAGTGCCCCTTTACCAAGACGTTGCCCTACGAGATCCAGTCGATGTTGCTTGAGGACTTTGATTTGGATGCGGGCCTGGACTACATGAAGGTCTTGCCATTCACGAGAAAAAGGCGAAAGGCCCTCATGAATTCTCAGAGTTGGGTCGTGTGCTTTTACCTTGGGGAGTTGGAGAAGAGTGATCCTTTGAAAATGGTGTCGGTTGGTGGAAAGACCCTACTGGAGGTGGATATGAAGTCCTCAAAGTTGTGGGATATCAATGCCGCTTCTGGAATATACCGACTCCTCTTGTGGGCGGCGGCGAAAGGAAAGATCACCGATATCCTTTTGTCAATGCCTGACAGGTCGTGGCCAACCTCACAGACACCAACCCGTGGTGAAGGCTCCCTACCAATGAGAACCAACCAAGCTCCGTATGGCAGAAAAGACTTGCTACCACATCAACAACAACAAGTGTGGACCGAGACAGCTTGCGCGGTGAAGCCAATGCTCCTGTGGACTATCGCTACAATGGCCAACAAGGGCAACGTGGGCTATATGATGGAGATGCACTCTGATCCTGAGTGGCTTCATGGAGGAGATTCACCCTTCGCCACATGGTGGAAGAGCGAGACCTGGAAGGCCTTCAAGTCTGTTTCGGGTATGAGGCAATCTTCCTTTTACATGGGAGGTATGGGCCATGCGGCAAAGAGACCAACAACAGTTGGAACCAACTACTTGATGATCAACCAGAACGACGGGAACTATGAGTTCGGTGATGGTTGTGTCCCCCCTTCATTGTTGTCGCGAACGGCTATGAGACGGTGGTCAATGGGTTTCAAACAACTTGTTCTTGAAGCAGTTGTTCGTCAGTGTGATTTCCAGAATGAAGACCCAGAGGGACTAGTTTCCCCACAGCTCATGGACTACTCCACCGGCAACTACGTTTGGGAATGAAGTTTGGTTCAGGGCGAAGGACTACAAAGGGACCAAAGAAAAGAAATGGGATGCCAGTGGAGCCAGGTGGAAGAAAGGGTGGTACCGTGGACCTTCAACGGACGTTAGCAAGGGTCACCTTATCCTTAGGGAGGACGGAGGACTCACCATCGCAAAGAGTGTAAAGTTCAACGTGATCGACCCCGAGAAGGACCTTCGTTATCTACTACCACCGGCGACAGCACAAGGAGTTTCTCTTTCAGATGGAGAAGATGATGAACCTCAGACAAAGAGGCAGCTGGCCGAGGAGATTGAGTTTCTGGCTCGGAAGCTACTGGATGAAGAGAACTTCTCCTTGGAAGAGGTCCTGGGTTTGTACAACAAGTTAGAAGAGCTCGGAGACACTGACATGAGGATTGGAAAGAAGGAAGCCGTGACCTCCTGGTACACTGGAGCCTTTGTTCATGGAGGCTGTGCTGGGATAAGAAGGAACTCCTACGTCTACCCCCAGACCACAAAGTACCTTGTTCGAGTCGCAAAACACTACGCGCAGGGTGAAAGTTTCTCTGCTCTTGGTATTGCCCGGAACGCAACCCTTGGCCTACACCGAGATGTTCACAACTTCAAGAAGTCCAACAATGTCGTTGTGCCGATAACTTCGTTCAAGGGTGGATCCTTATGGAAATGGGACCCGGATGTCTTGGAGGATCAAAGTGTTCAAAAGGAGCTTCCGAACGGGCAGGTCGTAAAGGGATCAATTCATGAAATGGTCAAGGGCGTGCCGGTGAAGTTTGCCCCTGGACAATGGCATGAAGTTCAACCATGGGAAGGAGATCGAGTTGTTCTTCTTCTATATACCCCGAGGGCATCAAAGTTGACAGACAAGGATGTCGAGAGACTTGAGGACATGGGTTTTCCGGTGAACCATGAATCCTTGAAAAGGGAGACCGATGAGGCGGATGAGGAGAGTGTGGAGATTGAGGAGGAGATCCGAGTAAAAACTTTGCATGTCGATCCCCTGTCTCCAACAATGGCTTTCGTTGAGTTGGATGATTCCGACATCTTTGATGGAAAAAGGGCACCTACAACCACGCATGGAGGTGAGGCTCGAAAAACCCTGAAGAAGGCTGAGGTACAGTACACTCCGAACATTGAGACTATCATCGAGCATCATGTTTAGAAAAACACACCCCTGGATGTGACGCATACGGTTAGTTTGCAGGAGGTCAAGAAGAACATCGACAAATGGAAGGCCTCGGCCATCAAGGAGTTTACCAACTTGAAGGATGCAAAGAATGCCTTTGTGATCAAGAAAAAACATGAGCTACCACCAGGGTGTCGGATTGTTCCTTGCAAGGGCGTCTACACAGTGAAGCCGGATAAAAACTCTCTGTTTCGTCGCAAGACACGGTTTGTTGCATGTGGAAACCATGTTCCAGAAGGTCAAGAAGGAATGGACTTGTTTGCTACTGGCCTGGACGCAACAACTTTGAGGACAATGCTCGCCTATACCATAGGGAAGCCTTGGAAATATGGCACTACTGATATACGACAAGCTTTTGTTCTGGCTCCGTGGTTGGGCTTACCGGTGGCACTGCAGCCTCCAGCGATAGCCTATGAGTTGGGATTGGCTGAGCCGGGAGACTACTGGTTTGTCACTATGTCGATCTACGGCCTCAGGGAAAGTCCAGCTCTATGGTCTCGGTTTAGAGATGAGCAGTTGCGGATGGCGAGATGGTTTGCGGAGGTTGAAGGCCAGATGGAAGAACTGAAGTTGGTTCAAATGATCACTGACGACCAAGTGTGGAAGATTGTCAGGGCAAATGGTGACCAGGAGCCGTTAGGCTACCTCATGGTCTACATAGATGACTTGTTGATCAATGCCCTCCCTACAGTGATGGACACGTTCTTCGGTTGGGTCGCTTCGAAATGGGAATGTGACAACCTGGATGTCTTGGAAGTGGACCATCCTATCAGATTTCTGGGTATGGAGTTCCACCTTGTTGATGAAGGGGTGGAGCTTGCCCAAGAGGGATTTGTACGTGAACTACTACGATCTCATGGACATGATGGTTCAAGATCCAAGACCCCGGGTGCGAAAGAAACCGTGGTGTTGACCCTGGAAGAGGAGGAGGCTATGATCTTGGCACAACCAGTGGATCTGGAAGGAAAAGAGGACCAAGTCAAGGCAGCTCAGAGGGTTGTTGGCGAACTTCTATGGTTAACAGGCCGTACTCGTCCCGATCTTCAATATTATACGGCGCTGCTTTCCTCAAGAATTACCAGGTGCCCGGAGATTGTGAACCAGGTTGCGAATAGAGTGTTAAACTACCTCGCAGAGACCCTCCACTACAGGATCAGGTTTTCAAAGAATGAGGAAAATACCGAAGCCCTCCATGTGTTCACCGCTTCGAGCTTCGCTCCAAGTTCGGGGCGTAGTCATGGGTCAGCAGCCGTGTTCTACGGTGACAATCCAATTGCCTGGAGATCATCTCGTCAGAGTCTAGTCACTCTGTCGACGGCAGAATCAGAGTTGCTTGAAGGTGTGGATGGAACTATATTGGGTTGTTCAACGAAAACTCTGCTTGAAGAATTGAGCGGAAGGCCCCTGTCCCTTTACCTCCACATCGACAACCAGTCGGCGGTGATGTTACTCCAAGGTTCTTCGGGCTCATGGCGCACTCGCCATTTGAGGCTACGATCTAACTTTGTAAAGGAGAAGATCCAGCACAAGGAGCTCCAGGTTGTTTTTGAGCCCGGAATTTCACAGAGGGCTGACTTGGGAACCAAACCACTTCCTAAGGATCGAATGGCTCAGCTTTTACGGCTTTGGAATGTTGTTGATCGCCGACCAGAGGTTCAACCTACGATTCGAGCAATGGCAACGAATAATTCCTGGTTGATGAGGTTGCTGATGCTTTGCCAGGTTTGCGGTGTTCGATCAGAAAGCGGTCAATTGCAAACCGAGATCCCCTGGGACTTGTATGTGGCTGTGCTGGTGATTGCGATTGTGGTCATTTTCCTTTGGGAGACTTCAAAGAGTTGCACTCGAGGAAGTGATGTGAGACTGCGGGCTTTAAGGGCGAGAGCTGGATATGGAAAGATGTCGAGGAATGAGCTGAAGGAGCTTCAAAGGCTCTTGGCCCTGGAACCGAGTGATCTGTCGGATGCTCAGGGAGTGAGACTCCTCTACTTGAGGGACCTCTTTGAGACCACGATGCCTTCTGGCACATCTCCGGTCCCTACAATACCAACAGAGATGACATCACAGGCTTCTTCTTCGTCTACTACCTTTTCGACCAAGGCCAAACCTACGACGAGAGATCAAGGTGTACAAAAAGACTACCAACCAGCATTCGAAAGAGTGCGACCGGAACCCATTCCGCAAGTGAGAGTCGAGACCTTTGCAGGACCATATCACCATGTACCGGGAACGGATGTTCTTCATATTCATGGAAACTGCTGGGGATTGAGAAACACCGGCAGGGCCCAAGCTCTACGACTTTGCCGATGCTGCGTTGAGAATGGCGGACGTAGCATTTACAATAGGTGAGATCCCCGGATCTTGACCACGTCGGGCACACAATGTATGGTGATGCATAGCCTTTCGGCATCATCAAGGAGGAGTGCAGAAACATGTGCCCTCTGTGTCTGACTTGAGGTGTGATGTTTGAACGCTGTGTTGCTACTCAAGCTTCATGGCACAACAAGACCTTAGGCCCGTGTTGGCAATCACATGTATAGTGTAAAGAGGCAACCGCCTAAAGACATGCCATCCTGAGCAGTGGTCACTTTCGTGCTAAAAAGAGCTCACGCTTTACGGTGTGCGCATGGTCCTCTGGCTTTTGCTGCTTGCGAACTAAGACCAGATAAGGCCTCGCTGCTGTTACCAATTCGTTGACAGAACTACAAGTTCTATATCGCCATAGTCTCCCTATTTCATCCCCTGCATTCGGGGATCCTCATCTCTCGGATTAGACCACCACCCTGGTTGTCGCAAAGGTCCGAGGTTTACTCCGGTTTAGGGTTTAGGGTTAGCATAGAAGTCCACAAGAAAACAAATTCTGGCAGGTCACTGGAGGCCCCAGAAGCCCGTCCCAGGGCCCCGAATTACAAGCCACCCGCAGGCCTGAAGCCAAAAGCAAGCGAGAAAACTACAACCCTAAAGCCGTAAACCCTGTACATTCCTTATAGGGGCGCGTCAAGGAACCCTCAAAAGGAACACCTTGAAAAGACAGCCAGCAGCACCTCATAGGATTTAAGTTTCAACACTGACTCTTGAAGCTCACCACCACGGTTCGGCCTCACAGGAAGCTGAGCTAATCAAAGGCGTCCGTGTGCGCTTTCTCGAGGCACGGGCAGAATGGTTGTAGACTGCATTCCCAGGAATAGTGGTGATGGTTTCCTATGACCCTTATAGTAACTCTTTCATGACCTTTCCGGAACGTTTATCGAAGCATTGTTGTAACTGAGATGTAGTCGATTGGGGACCCTGAAAGTGATGAAGTTTGCAGAAACCCTCCATGTGTAGATAATTTGTGAGATATACTTTTAATTCGTGGGAGACCGACTTTTGGGAAACCAGCAAAGAAAGGGGGAAACGGACAAGGTTGATATTGAGGATGTATAAATACACTTATGTAAACCTTGGGACCAATGCTTGATGGGTTCTGTAATGCAGACATCGGAAGAATTAGTACTGCTATTCCATAGGGCTCCTTAATAGGAGTATATGCGACAATCTGCCCCGAAACATCCTTCTACCCATAAGCCCCGTAGTAGTTCCTTCTATGGATTACCTTATGGGATTCTAAACATGAACCCCCAAAAGGAACTACTATAGGGCTTATGGATACTGACTAAGGCCCGAACAATAAATCATTCACAGCAACCGTGGCAGAGCCGTTTACAGGAAACCCACCCTGTAAAGGAACCCTCCTCGGTGTAGGGTTTAGGGCTTAGGGTCTTGGGTTACATTACTAAACGGGCTTCACACCAGGCTGGACAAGATCGGACAATCGACAGCAAGGCGCAATATCCCAAGGCACATCGGGAGACTTGGCAAGCCTAACTATGGGCTGCCACGTTGTAGGGTATAGGCTGTGGGATGTAACGCTGCTAGGGTTTAGAGTGTTAGTTCAGAGTTTGGGGTTGCGATGTGTTATTAAGTCCTGGTTTGGAGTTTTGGATGTGCCCGCTATTATTGAAACTGCCAGCGAACATAACACACGGGATCCATTTGTAGACGACCGCAGGTTTTCTGGGGGTTCGTTCGTTCTAGAATCTAGGCATGCTTAGACTCGAGGCCTGTATGCATTTAGAAGCAGTTCTATAGGGATTAAAGTGTGGGTTTAGGGTTTCGGGTTGAGGGTGTTCGGATGCGGAATCTTGGCTGTAGGGTTGTTTTTGTTAGTGATTTCACGGTTTTGGGCTTGTTTGGGTTGGGACGGGGTGACGTGTTCAATTTCGATGGAGGATTTTTGGTCCGCGGTCTTGGACATGTTAGGGCTTAGCAGTTCTGTGCCGAAACGGAGGATTCCCAAAATACGGGCAAAAACAAAGCTCCTCGCCGTGCGGTCGCAGCCCAAAGGCTGAGTTTCTAGTTTAACAACTAAACCCACCCGGAGCCCAAGCGCCAGAGTCTCACAAGAAGGGCTCCTGCGTTCAAGCTGGTAGACACTAAGCAAGTTTTTGTTGGTTTGGGCCCCAGGTTTGGGGCCTCTTCTATGCGTAGTGTGCGAGGAGACAAGTTTCGTCCTTGGCCCTAGGGCTGAATCAGCACATTGTAGTTCCTTTTTTTGGTTTAACTAAGTATATATTAAGGATTCTATAAGGTAACCCAAAAAAGGAACTGCAACGGAGACTATAGGTTATAGGGTTCGAGGACTGGTTCCAGCTGCGGGTGTCGGGCTTACGTTTTGGTGTTAATGGGTGCCGTGGAACCCTACTTGGACGGTGACTTAGCTAGTAGGTTATAAGCAGGGTTATAATCGGTGTAACTCCATTTAGGGTACTTATACCTCTACCTGCAACCTACTTACTAAGTCCCCTGCCCCTCCAAGTAAACCCCAAAGACCAAGAGCCCGAATCCGCTTTATAAACCTCACTGCATCCTGACCTCCGAATAGCCCTAAGTCCACAAGCCCCCAAAACCCTAAATCAAAATCCCAAACCCTCAACCACATCCCGCCACAACCTTAAAGCCACAAAAGCCTAAATCAAAATCCCAAACCCTCAACCACATCCCCCCAAACAAAGGCAACACCCTTAAAACGCCAAACTAAACCCTAAACCCTAAATCCCGTCACACCCCAAGTAAGGTAGCACCCTTAAAAACCCCAAACTAAACCCTAAACCCTAATTCCCGTCACACCCTTAAAGCCCCAAAACCTTTCGCTGTGAACCCAAGCCAGGCCATCGAGGTCACGGGCATGTCAGCGGCTGAGCCTTCGAACGGGAAGGGGAGGGCCGGGGATGCTACTATAGGAGCCTTTAAAAATTTACTTATACTCTTTTTGTAATTATAGTATAATGTGGGTGTCGGTTTAGTAGTAATAGGGTACCCCCTCCCCCCTCCCCCGACCAAAAAAATAATTCTATTTAATTTGGAACCGGTAACCCCGGACAGGGGTCAGGGGTCTGAGTGGCAGGGAATTGGGAGGTGCCGGGGTTTGGGGGCTGGCTTGGGTGCAGGGTCTGCGGTTCTGCGCGAATGCGCGGTCGGGGGTCGGGGGGGTCTGGGGATCACCAAATGCTGGAAACCAAGCCCCGATCACTCCAAGATTGCTACCAAGACTAAAAACCCTTCATTTTGAACACTTTTGCCTCCGTAACCTACACTCCCACACTCCCACCCACAATCGACCATCTGAAGCTTGGTGCGGTACAATGATAGTACAGTAGCACAATAGTAGTACAGTAGAAATAATACAGTAGTAGTACAATAGTAGTACAATAATAGTGCAGTAGTACAATAGTACTACAACAGTAGTACAGTGGTATTACAATATTAGTACAGTAGTAGTACAATAATAGTACAGTAGTACAATGGTAGCACAATAGTAGTACAGCAGTAGTACAGTAGTAGTACGATAATAGTACCGTAGTACAATAGTAGTACAGTAGTAGTACAATAATAGTGCAGTAGTACAATAGTAATACAACAGTAGTACAGTGGTAGTACAATAGTAGTACAGTAGTAGTACAATAATAGTACAGCAGTACAATAGTAGCACAATAGTAGTACAGTAGTAGTACAGTAGTAGTACGATAATAGTACCGTAGTACAATAGTAGTACAGTAGTAGTACAGTAGTAGTACAATAATAGTGCAGTAGTACAATAGTAATACAACAGTAGTACAGTGGTAGTACAATAGTAGTACAGTAGTAGTACGATAATAGTACAGTAGTACAATAGTAGTACAGTAATAGTACAGTAGTAGTACAATAGTAGTACAGTAGTACACTAGTAGTACAGTAGTAGTACAACAGTAGTACAGTAGTACAGTAGAAATACAGTAGTAGTACAGAAATAGTACCAATAAGCAAAGCATAAAGCCAGTGAGCACATTCCCCCAAATAAGCAAAGCATAAAGCCAGCGCCTGAAACCCTAAACCCTGAAGCCAAAACCCTAACAAACCCTAAACCCTAACGAATCCTAAACTCCTAAACCCTAACAAACCCTAAACCCTAAGCCCTAAACCCTTCCCAAAGGGGGGTCGGTCCAGATTCGACCCAAAATTGAATTTTTTATGCAAACTTTAGTACTGGAGAGGCCTTTGTCGAGCAAGGGTCCAATTCCCAATTCGGCGGTTCACCCTAGCAGCCCCCCCAATAAGCAAGGCATACAGTAGCAGTACAATAGTACAATAGTAGCACAGTAGTAGTACAGCAGTAGTACAGATTCTCATTCCTGACGCCTGAATAAGCAACAATTCTGCAAGAGATTTTCGGGCTTCAGGGCCAGGGTTTTAGGGTTTGGTGGGGGTTTGGGTGGGGGTTTAGGTCGTGGCTGCCTTAAGATTGACCATCAGCAAACAGCACAGCCCCGCCACCAAAAAAACCCACCAGCCAAAAATAAACGAATTAATTAGAACATCCAAATTTTTGGTAAGATTCGGAATTAGCACCGGAGAAGACGCATTAAAGGGGCCTATATTCCAAAACCGACACCCACATTAATGGGCCCCTAAACCCTATTCTAATTACTAAGGCCCCTATATTATTTGTTGCGCCAATTTTGGGACAGGGGGGTGGAAATATGTCGGGGGCGGGGCGGTGTTAGATTGGCAACCCCAGCGCTGCTTGAACATGAGTGTTTAGCATTTAGAGCACGTGTCTCTGTGTGTGTGTCTCTGTGTGGGTGTTTGTTTGTTTTCTTACGGTGCACTTCAATCATCTTCATAGGTCCAGTCCGTCAAGGAAGCAGGGAATCTAGGGCCAAGCACAAAGCATGCTTTACATGGATCAGAGGCTCTTTTGTCAACTGTCCCGAAAGGAGCCTTACCCCAATTCGGATAGGATTTGGGATTTGAGACCATGTCTGTGAGTGCTTCGTGGCTGCCTACAATCTCAAGAGCTTGCCGGACCTGGGGCGTGCTCAGGCTTTGGATTTCGAGTGGTTTATGGCTTGCCGGATTTAGGCCCTGGGGTGTGGCTGTCGCTTTTGGCCTAGCTTCCTCGAACAAGCCCAGCCATCGACCCATGAGCCGATCTGCCTCTTCAGGTAGGGTACAAGCGTTTTTTTCTTGGAAGAGGTTTTCGAAGACATCATGTGATACTTCAAGTAAGTAGCAGTAGGGACTCTTAGCGAGCTGTGTTTGGTGGTTTTACAGACCTCCAAATTTCAAATCCACAAAAAGTTTAAACCATGTGCCTCAAAGCTCGAGTGTCAAAGTCTATACGTTTAGCATTGGTACCACAGGACGCTGATTTGTGACCTCCTCCATACTACGGCTTTTGCTTCAGGATCCTTTCAGAAAGTACAAAGTTGCTGAAAAGAGTTTGAATGAGCGGTTGAATCATGTCAGTGAGTAAATGACCGTGTCGAAACCGGTAGCCGAACGCCAAATGCCAATACTTATCCAATCCATCATAGCCTCTAAGCCGGAAGGCACCTAGCCGTCGAAATGCTCCAGGTCGGCGCAGGCGTCGGTGTTTGATCTGAGGAAGAAAATTGCGGCGATGGAGGATATGCCGCTGGAGGCAGAGATGAAGTACACAGACTGTGCTTTCTGTGTTTTAGGGTCCCTCCTGTGAGAGGCCCAGTAACGAGGATCCAAAACATGGGTCCACCACCATCACAAGTGCACATGCTACTGCTACTGCCACTTCTACTTACACTTGCTAGTGACTAGACCCCAAACCCTAAACCAACTACAGATGAAAAAAACAACTACACCAGGAGGCAAGGCCCAGGACACTTGAAGTGGTTCTGTAGTTGAGGATTCTGCTCAGGGTTCTGGTTTCAGGGATCTGCTTTGCGATCTTGCGAGGTGCTGGTTAATATAGGGGGCCTTAAGAATTACCTACTATACTAGTTCAGGGGTTCCTCTTTGTACTTGTAGTATAGTATCCCCCCAATCCCTGTTCTAAACATTAAGGCCCCTGTGTTATGTCTTCTAGATCCAGCCAGAAGTCTGAGAAGCACCCTAGACCCAACATCCTGAGCCACGAATCCTGAAATACGATTCCTTTCAATCGTAGCCAGAAAAGCCCTAAGCATTCCGAACCTCTGGTCATTAAGTTTCGATGATGACTGCAGGTCTGGACATCCTTCTGTGTGTTGCGAAACAAGTTACTGAACCAGTCCGGCACTCTCGGAGTGTAGGCTTCAGGGAGGGCTTGGGTTCTTGCCTTAGGATCTTGGGTTATGGAACTAGTTTTATTTTGTTGCTTGGGGTTTAGGGCCTTAGACAGCTTCTTTGGCCGAAAAGCTAAGCCATGCTCTAAGCCCCAATGGTCCGTGTACCTACAGGTTATATGCTGTCGCGTGAGAGGCGTTCGTAAATGATGACTTTGGGGCCAATGCATGTATTCACATGTCTTGTTTTAGGTATAGTTTAGGGGTTTAAGGCTTCTCACATGCCGGAGCAGGACATCAACCTCTTTGCAGCAGAGAGCGTCCTCTCGGATGAAGTGGTGCTGCATGAAGTCTACATGGACCCGAACTACTTTGCGATTTGATAGATTTGAGTCAACACTTAGGCTGTAGAGTCTAGAGTTTAAGGCTTGAAGCTTATGGTGGAGATGTCTGGGGTTTTGAGTTTAGGCCTTTCGGTGCAGGGTTTGTCGAGAATTTAGGCTCTCCGTAGCTGTGACTCTAACAGGCTTGTTGTTTGTATCGCTTCTGTGCAGGCTACAGTTTTGGACTGGGCTTTCAGCTTCACTGATTCTTTAATGAAGGACATGACTGTGTGGTTCAGGGTTAAGGTTTGTTCAAACTTCCACCCCTTGAGATGTTTTGTCTCGTTTGGTTTTGACTTCAAGGTATATCCTTGAAGTAGTACCCTTGCCACGCATGCCTTGGAGTTGTAGTGCAGGTGCCGAAGCCCAAAACCCGCAATTCCTGTACGTGTGCATGTATGTATGTCTGTATGCACGCATGAACAAGTCAACAAATATGTGAGCAACAAATAAACAACTGTAACATAGATACATGTATAAAATATGCTTGTGCGTGCTCATTTCTTTGAATTGTTGTTCACACATGGTTTTCGTGTTCGCTTAGGTATGTGTTACGACGTTTGTCATATGTTAGTCTGAGTATCCATATACATATATACCTACACACACACGCATATATATAGCCATGGCAGTCCCTTCTGTATATATATATATATATATATGGCACGCATGTGTACGTGTATATAGAATGTGTGTATATGTACACATATGTATAAGTGTGTGTATATATATATATATACATATATATATATATATATATACATATGTGTGTGTGTGTGTGTGTGTGTGTGTGTGTGTGTGTGTGTGTGTGTGTGTGTGTGTGTGTGTGTGTGTGTGTGTGTGTGTGTGTTTGTACATTGTGTACGTATACATGTCCTTTTTTTTCTCTCTCTCTCTCTCTTTCTATGCTGCTCCTAGCAGCGTGATTCTCAAGCGACGTGGAGGCTAGGACCAAGACAGCACGGGGGGCTTTGATATTGGTAATTCTAAGCCGGAGGTCTCTTTCCCCCCGCCCCCCTTACCCTCCCCTGGCATGTGCTTTTCTAATTGTTACGGACCACCTAATATGTCTTGCTTGCCCTATGATTTAGCTGTGGAAGTGGGAAAAATGAGGCAGGGAAGACGCTTCTGTGCCTGTGCCCACCGCCCAAGCAGCAATGGAACGTATCAAAGCTTGCATTCTGAAACCCTGCACCAAGACCGTGAGCCGAAAACGTGAAACCATCCCTTCCGCAGGACTGGATGGGTTCTGGCATCGACGACTGGCCTCCCAGATTCATCGACCGAGCCTCAGATCTGTTTTTTCCTCAAATGAAGAGGTCTTGCATTTTATGAATAGGATCCCTCGAGGCTGTAGGTGGTTTGCCTGCTGTGGTCGCTACTGCATACAGGTTCTTTTCGGGCAAGGCTGAGGACTTGGATCAGTTGGATTGTTGCCGGTCGCATGGACAATCCTGCCTGATCGTGCCTAACCGCCTAACCTTTGTGCTGAATGAAGTGTCCCATGAGAACGGGACAGTGTTCAGTCTGGGACTCACTTCCCGTGATCTTACAAGTGTTTCAATTATGGGTCAGAATTCGGATGTTGTGGAGGGGCATCGTCCGGATCATCGCCGACGTCACGTCCATTTTCCACGTCACAGTTGCTCCACGGACCCGGCTGCTTGGCAGTCTCGTCCTCCTGTCATAGACCGTACGGTTTCTGCCAGTGAGAATGCACACATCACGGTTAATGAGGACCGGCACTGGAGGTAAGTTCGGAATACCCATCACACTTTTGCAATCGCCAACCATCACCCGCACAGAACTCCAACCGGCATGCTGGGAATTGGAAGCTTTCGGTCCACTGCCACAGAGAAGAGCGGCATCACGAGTTGGTTGCATGCCCTTGATTTACTTGGTAGATGAACGCATGACACCAGGAGTTTTGGCAGCGGAGATGGGTCATGTCAGAGCCGAACTTCATGTTCGGCCTTGCGCGGCCGTCTTTGCAATGCTTGCCGCGCCCCGCACCTATGACAGCCTTTTAGTGGCAAACCCATGGTTTTTGCTTGCTGCGGTGCTTGAGTCAGTGCTTGAGGTGACACGGGAAGCGGTGCTTGCAGTTGGACAGCAAGTCTACAGACTTGACCACCAGCATATCATCATGATTCGGACGTTTGTGCAAATATTGCTCGTATCGCGGCTTCCATGGAGAATGTGACAAGCTTCCTCATCAGCTTCCTCTCTGGTCCTCGAAGTGCTGTCAGCGGCCTCGGATCCGTTGTGGAAGATATGAGTGAATTCTCAGATGCCGGTGATACAGGATGTCAAGCATGCGGGTTTAGGGTTTAGGTTGCTTAGGCCCAGGTATCTCGATCTAGGATGCTGCGAACACCCTGCAGTATCAGTTTTGTGCTTATAATGATGTAGCCGGAGAGTGGTCATTCTTGCGAAGAAGGTGTGGTGCAGAGAACCGGTTCTTTGTGCATTTGCTATCTGTCCGGAGACAGGCACACGTAGCGACAGACAGAAACACTGCGCTCTCTTCCTCTCTCCCTCTTTCTCTTCGTCTCTTTCTCTCTTTTTATCTTTCTCTCTCTCTTTCACACTCTCACTGTCTCACTCCCACACTAGCATGCTGCATGCAGGCGCTTCTAAGCAGCACCGCACGTGGGTCCAGTAAGCACCAGCGCACCATGCTTTGCAATACATCATCGATAGCGGAGGTGTAAATCCTTGACAATTATGCTTTCGGTTCCAATCCCTTTATGAACCTTATCCTTAAACCCTAAACCCCCTAAACCTCTAAACCCCGTGAAACCCATGACCGGGACTTTGCTGGTCTTTGTCTTTGTGCTGGTTTGGACCGTTTGGTAGCGCTTGATCTGAGCCCAGCACGCTCCCACAACTGTGAAATGCATTGGGGGGTACCTTAGGGTTCCTTCAAAGGGTTACCATAAGCGTATGATAAGGTTTCCTGAGAAGGGCTCTAGACAAAAGCCGAAATTAAGGGGTACCTTATCTTGGTGTCCTTATATATAGTAAGGATCCTACATTTGAGGGTACTATATTAGGCTCCGCAGTTGTCGGAAATCCCAAAATGCTGGCCCTGATGTTTGGGGTGTTGGAATGGATTTCGAGTTGGGGTTCAGGGTTGAATAAGGGCTCTAGGGTCTAACATGTAGAGTCCGAGGTTTCGGTCGCTTGGGTTACTCGAGTTGCGTTGAACGATCGCTTTGTGAGGTCAAGCCCCGAGTGAAGGGCTTCGAAATCCACGTCTTGGTGAAGCCGATGCCGACAGCCAAGATTAGGGGCGGAAGGGGGGGGGGGGTTCGCAACCCCTAAGCGGTTTAGAGTTTAGGATTTGAGTTTGCAGGGACGGATGAACCTATAGGAGGCAATCAACCTTAATTGGACCAACTTACAACCACTCGCGCACGCTCTTGCCGGGGTTTCGGGGCCCGAAAGCCTAAACTCTGTGGTTCAGTCCCTCGATCCTTGTGCCCTGCGTAGATCCCAAACGATGTTCTTGAAACAAAGGTGCCTTGCGATGTTTGACGCTTGACACGTCTCCCAGACGCTGTTCAAGACATTGCCTTCCTTCAGATGTTCACAATTGAGAGCTTCAGCTCAGGACTTGGGAGTCCAAGAAGATACGTAAGGGTATATACAGACAGAGAGACGGTGAGAGAGAGGGTGAGAGAGAGAGAGAGAGAGAAAGAGTGAAGCTTACGTTGCAACAGTACCTACACCACCAGCACCGTGAACTCAGCCTCGGATCCAAAGCATGGGTTCGTGCGCATGCCCAGGCGCGACACGTCCGACTGGGACAAGGGGCGCCGCTTGCCTTGGTGAGTTCATGATCCTAAACGCCGAAACTCCACATCCCAAGTGGCGGACCCGATGCCCCTAAACTGGGTTCCTGCTAAGGAATTTCATGTATGTTACCATCATAGGGATCTATGACAGACAATATGGTTTCCTTATTATGGTAACTTAATATCAAATTCCTTAGGTTTCAGGAATCTTCGAGGCTCCGGACCGTGGGAGGGTGTCGGCCTAGGCCTCAGGGCTCAAAATCACAAGTTGGAGTCTGGACATTGCATGCTGTTGTGGGGGACTCATCTGACTCTTATGACTGTTATGATCAAAGCCCAGCAGCATGAACTTAGTCAACCCAGAAACGTTAAATAGCTGTAAAGTCACAAACCCTAGAGGCTCCAAAGGGTCAGCAACAGCCGTCCGCTGCAACGTCAGCATCATTCAACATATCCTGCTCGAGGTCTGAAGCTTTGTGGCGTTGACAAAAGTTTCAGATGTTTGGCTGAGGACCAGACCTTCCAAAATCCTTTAAGTAAGGAATATACCTTAATTCATATTAGGGATCCTATTATAGTTTAAGGTATACTCCTTAATTAAGGGATTTTGGAAGGTCTGGGGACTTCGGTCTATAGTCCAACACCAGCAAGGTCGCAGTACTGTGCTGCAAAAGCCACACGTCAGCGCATAACTCACAACTCAAACAGGCGAAACACATAAGAACACATAGCTAACATGCGGCCAGTAATGGTTAAACCCTAAGCCCTACACCCTAAGCGTACAACCCTACGAACCAGGGCGGCTAAACACCAAACTCGAGCGTTCGATCCCAGTAGGCCATAAACCTCGTTAGCGGGGTTTGCATGGCCAAGTTCGCTGTGATAATTAGTGATATGTTTCCCTTATATATACATACAACATACTTTTTATATAGGTATAGATATATACTTTGAAAAATATGCCCCTCTTTTCCATACTCCACCCATGAAGGCCCCTCTACTAGATACACACCGAGGCTTGATGAGCTACCAGGAGCAAACCCTGGCCTTGGACCCTGCAAGGGATGTACTTCTGCACAGGAACCCTATGCCTCCAGGGACCTTATTATGGGGTCCTTAAGGGGTCTAGGGCCCTAGCTATGAGGTGCTTGGAGGGATAGGGGAAGGGTTCAAAAACGTGTTCTATAGCGATAGAAGTTACGGCTCTGTAAGGGGTCTAGAAGTGGGCTCAGGGGCGCGAGAATGGATGTATATGGGTCGCATTGGAGCTCAGTTCCATTGAGGGCTTGAGGCTGCAAAGCCTCTGGGTGTTCCGGCTACGATTCGACCCTTTGGGAGTTGCTTTTCCGTCTCAACTTTTTGTTCGTTCGCCGTCAGGTGCCGCGATTGGCTTCCGGATGTGTATTTGAGTATTGGACTCTGGGTTGGCTTGCTTTGGGGTCAGTGTTCGGGTTTTAGAAATTGACCGTTTTCATTGTGATACTGAGATCATATTGCATCGGAGTCTTTCCGAAATCATACTCCGAGCACCTTCCATATGCAGGTAGGTAGCGGGATTCAGAAGACCTCGCAAGAGAGAGTTGATATAGGGGCCTAGATAATTTCCAACACTATTTTGGAGAGGTTCCTTGTTTTAACTGTAGTTATAATGGGCCCCAAATCCTTACTCCAATAATTAAGGCCCCTTGCTTTAAAATCCTGCTGCTATGGAGCAGCTCAGGAATTTCAGTCCTCCCAGTAGGATCGTGCGATCTTCCATACACCAGCCTCCGCTCTCCACTGCCGCATGTTCAACCTCAGCATATATATATATATATGTATATATATATATGTAGAATATATATATATATATATATATATATTATGTTAGTATCGATGTTGCTTTCTGTGGGAAATCATTGCAGAAGCAAAGGGTATGTAAGCACAGTAAACAAGAAGCCTCCTGTGCCTTGCAAGCACCACGGACCCACTGTTGCGTCGTGCATCTTCAGTGCGATTTAGGAGCACTTTCCTGGGGTTCCTTACTACGGCTGCAGTAGAATGTACCTTCTCATGGTATTTATGGCATAGCAAATAACCTCGCTAAACCCAAGTCTTGAACCCGAAACCTGAGAAACCTTCGCAATTTCACCGCCGCCCAAGATCTTCGATGTGATGCCCACCACGAAAGTGAAGGACATCGATGGGATGTGCAAGTCCTTTGGGGTTTTGCGCACTGAGCCCTGAACCCTTCTCAGAGAGTCAGGGATGTTAGTGAGTAGGTTCTTAAGTTATAAGTAAGGGAACTGTATACACACACAGGTGTCTATAAGGCTTCTATGTAGGGATTACAGGGTTTTAAAGTTCAAGGATAATTTTGCCAGCAAGGTAACTATAGTTGTGTCCAGTTATAACCACAAGTAAGAGATGTTTACTGAAACCGTGCTTATACAGTCTTGCTGAACCTGTAAGTGCAATATACTGGCCTGAATAGTTCCAAATCGTCGTCTCGTACAGTCCCTATAGGTTATACCATACAGTGTTTTTCAAGCCCCAAACCCAAAACCGCAAAACCCTAAACCCCAAAGCCCTCAACCCTAGAGCCCTAAAGCCCTAAACCCTTAACCCTAAAGCCCCAAACCCCAAACCCTAAACCCCAAAGCCCCAAAACGCCCTAAACCTGAACTCGCTGAAGCCATCAGGTTCGCCTTTTAAACCCAGGGGCTTCCCCGCAGCTTCTTCCCAAGCCTAAGCCCCAAGGGCCCAAAGGACTCAATAACAAGGTACTTGGGTTTGGGATAGCAGTTATGTAATGATTATTGGGTCCTTGGACCTTTAGGGTAAGCCCCATCATTGTTCAGGTTGTGAGGGTTTACGTCGGGTTTCGTTTTAGGGTTTTGGGTTTAGGGTGTATGTAGGCTTTCGTTTAGGGTTTAGGGTTCAGGTTTTGGGTGTATGTCTCTACGAGTCCATGTACTTGTATTCGCATATACTTGGCCCCAAAGTCCTTAAACAGGGACTACGAGGCAATGTATATGCTATATGAGTACATGGACCCTTAGGGTGTAGGATTTCGTTTCAGGTTTAGGGTTCAGGGTCTTCGGGCTTAAACTACAAAACGTCAAGCTTGGCGATAGAACCCTGTGCTAACGCTGGAAGAAACCCCCAACTCCAAACATCTAGACTCTTGACCGTGTCCTCAAGAGGCCAGCAGATTTTGAGTCAAGATACTCTTCCAGGGCCCTAGACCCCTCGAGACAGGAAGTTCTGTTGTCTCAGCTTTCGGCTGAATGTCAAACCCTAAACTTACCTTTGGTTAGTGGGGAATGGAAGAATGGGGTACAAGTATAACTACTATTACTACCATTCTTCCATTCCCTACTAACCAAAGGCAAGATACAGGATTATGAAGGCCCCTATCTTATAGTACCCTTATAGATCCCTTATAGACCCCTTCATAAAGCCCCTTCCATTCCCAACTGACCAAAGGTAAGTAAACCCTAAACCCGGCTTTGTAAAATGACTCGAAACCCTCAACCCCTGAACACAGTATTGGGGCCTTAATGAGTACCTACACTATTTTGGTGGGTTCCTTATGAGGATGACTGTAGTATAATGTACCCTTACTAATAAAAACGATGGAACATGCTGTGACAACGAAGTTGCCCGGTTACAGCTTTCTTTCGTTGTGCCACCACTGGCAGTCCAGCCAAACTATCGCTCGCTGCCGAGGTGAGCAGTACAGACCTTGCAAGCCGACTTCTGGCCATTCTGAGAGGAAGGACACAGCCGAGGGCGTGGTGAACGTCCTGCAGAATTCTCAGGTGGTCACGGGAAGAGTCGCATTCATTGGACGCTGGAGCGTTTTGGTGAATCTTCCGCTGCCAAACAATGGAGATTCGGCATGGTGCGTGCGCAAAAAGGGGCTCTTCAGCACGTTGTTTTTCATCCGACTTGTGGCAATGAAGCTACACATTCGAGGCGTCCTTGCCATTGCGAAATAAGGTGGGCCACAGTCCTTCCAGAAGTACAGACCTTGAAGAAGGATGCAGGGGAGGGGTCCTGCAGGAGCCAGCCTTCGAGCTCTTCAGGATCCTTCATCCAAAACCGTGCTGGGGTCATAAGAACCATGAACCCAGACCTTCCAAAATCCCTTAGTTAAGGAATTTACCTTAAATCATACTATAGGGACCTTACTATAGTTTAAGGTATATTCCTTAATTAAGGGATTTTGGAAGGTCTGGGAAAAGGCGTCGGCTACCACTCACCGAGGGTCCTGGGATGGTGCCCGAGATGTATATGATTTGCAGACGGCCGGAAAGCGCCCTCTGAAGCACTTAGAGAGACACCGTAGCCAATGTTTAATGCTGAAAAAAGCTGCGCAACAAGTTTCGGTCCCGATGCTTTCAGAGCCCCATGGGCCTTCTGTCAACTCTAGACCCTAAGTCCTCAAGCCTTAACCCTACACCCCCTACGAAACCGTATAGAAGCCCTAGGCGGAGCTCTCAAACACTTAATATAGGGGCCTTAACAATTGGAATAGGCTTTGGGGGGTCTCCTTATTAAGTTATATAATAAAATATACCCACGAGCCCTGCTCTAATTATTGAGGCCTTAAATCAAACACTAACCCGTTATACTATCACTATAATATGGAACCCTCACAAAAGCATAGGTATTTATTTAGGCCCCTACAGTAGGCACTCCACCACGCAACGGACAGAAAAGGACTTGAAGTTCCTCATCGCTGGGAGGTTCGGAGCTCCAGCACTGCTGTTGGGATTTGGTCTATATAGGGTTTTTGTTCGGTTTCAGGTTTATGGTTTAGAGATTAGGGGTTTAGGGCTTCAGGGCTTTAGGGTTTAGGCTAGGTTTCAGGTTTTAGTTCGGTTTAAGGTTTTAGGGTGTAGGGTTTGCGGCTTAGAGTTTAGGGTTTTGCGGTTAGTTGCGCTTGAGGGTCTGGCCTTGGGCTACCATAGGGACATTCGCAATCTTATGCTTGTTTTCTAGTGGCTTAGTATGTATATTGCTCCAAAAGCCTAGTCTAGAAGCCGGAAACTTGTCTAGGTTCCTGATTATATTTATGGTATATGGTGGTTGTCAAAATCATGATCCCTGTTGGGTCCCTGTTATAATACGGCGCCTATTACTTAGGGTACCCCAAAAGGGACCCTAATTTCGACAACCACCCAGACAGAACATACCCCCAGGGTTTTTGGGGGTTCGGCCTGCAGGTTGATGGTTCCGGGAGACAGTGTGTTCGGATCAAGAGCTTAAGGTTCCAGGTGCTGTAGTTATAATTGGGGTTATAAGTCCCCCAAGTGGTTATAATGATAGTTACCCTACTTATAGCTCCACTTATAACTGAGCAACTTGACTGCCTGACCGTTGCGAGGTGGATGTGTTCGGTAGCTGTGTCGTCGAAGGGCCAATTATTGGAGCATTATTGCTGGGGAGGACTAACGCGGTCGCAGGGGGCGTTGTCGCCTTCATTTGTCGATGTCGTTGTTGATGTCGCTTCCGTTGCTGTTTGTGGGTGCCTGTTGTGTGCTGTTCCTGGTTGTTGTGTTTGGTGGTGCTGCTCCAGCTCCTGCTCCTGCTCCTGCTCCTTGCCGCTGCTGCTGCTGCTGCTGCTGCTCCTGCTCCTGCTCCTGCTCCTGCTCCTGCTCCTGCTCCTGCTCCTGCTCCTGCTCCTGCTGCTGCTGCCGCTGCTGCTGCTGCTGCTGCTCCTGCTCCTGCTCCTGCTCCTGCTCCTGCTCCTGCTGCTGCTCCTGCTCCTGCTGCTGCTGCTGCTGCCGCTGCTGCTGTTATTTGTTGAAACGCCCTGCAACCGCCGATGGAGGATTGGCATCCCTGCCAGCAGACATCAGCTCTCAGCGCACATCCGCCCGGAGCCCGGCAACTTTAAAAGCTGAGAGCCCCAACCCGCAGCATCTCAATCCTTGCCCTTGGCCTTGAAGCTAAATCCTTACATCCTACACTCTGAACCACAGTTCCTATGTCCTCCAAAAAAGAAGTCGAAACACGGCGGCCCTGCTAACATCAGAAGTTTCCATGACCATGTGTTTGACAGGTTGAGCTTTTGCGGGATGAAAGTTTAAAGTATACCTTGTGGAATGCATGTTTCGTACTTTCTTACCTTCAACATGGATGACCACCATCGACATTGCTGCTGGAGCTCGGAAGGTTCACATAAAACCCGAACCCCGAAGGAGCTCGAAAGAGACGCTTCTAGGGTTCCAGATAGTGCCATGTACTCCGCCGTTCAAATCCTATAAACCCTAAACAATAGGGTTGAGGGTGTAAAGTTTAGTAAGGGAATGCACCATGACATGCGGAACGGCAAATCTCACTAGTAGACAGCGATCCCATGAGCGCTGCGCATGCCTTGCCGCGCCCTTGTCTTGAGTGTAGGGTACTAGGGGACCCTAGTATAGTGCCCTAAACCGTAGGATCCTTTTATAAGGCCCCCAAATAAGTTACCCCTCATTTTCGGAAGCTCCCGTATAATCTAGTCCTAACTCCCCCGACTATCAAGTATCCAGACGAGCCGTGTGGCAGGTAGAAGCCTGCACAATCTTGGCGAGTACATTGACCTAGACGATGCCACTGGTCAGCAAGAACACCCGGCCGCCACAGTTTCGGTTTAGGCTCTCATTGGGGCCAGGCCTGGTTAAACATGCGTAGTTTTGCTTGTGTCTTCTGAGCCTCATTATGAGTTGCTGTACGTAACTGTTTGTAACAGCGTGTTCGCAAGCTTTCTCAACATCGGGGGGCTGTAGCGCCTGGGTGATCATTTGCACATGAGGTAGAATCTGACCGGACCAGTCCATACCATACCGTACCATTACAATACGTACTATGACAATACTACTGTAACTATACCATACTATGCGGTACTGCTGTACCCACGATACCGTACCATACTGTGCCATACTACACTACGGAAGCCATAGTATGCTAGCTGCTCGGAGGATGGGAATCGGGGTCTTGGAGAGCTTGACGATTGCTTGCGATTAAGGGTGCCGCCCCATGCCATTCTGCAGCATTGTGTGGTGCTGGACAACAGGTTCAGGGTTTAGGGTTTACAGGGCTTATAACTTATAGTGGTTTTAGGCTTTATAGGCTTTATAGGTTTCAGGGTTCATAGGGTCTAGTTTTCATAGGGTTTAGTGTTGAAAGGATTAGGGAGCACATTCAATAAGGATCATCAAGTGACTCAACAGCAACATATAAAAGGAGCAAGCACGCCGTAGTTTGGCAACAGTAGCAATACCAACATCAACGTGGCAACGCAGCGACAATGCTTGTGCAGATACCCAACTTTCAAGGGCGCTCTAAGTACTTATTGGGTTATGGGAGGGTGTCAGGCTTATGTACCATGTACAGACCATGCCATACACAGTTGTTGGGAGTATTTGCATCGTCACCGGTTAAAACCATCTGTTTGATAACGTATCAAGGTGTTGGTTAGCCAGCTCCTCATATACCCTAAACAGAACAAGTTGAGTCTGAGGCTGTTCGTGCTGATGTCTATACCCAACATGGTGGGATCCTCATAATCGATCCCTAATAGAAGGGCCACTAAATATTTAAACTGCACCTGATTTCCTAAATCCTCGCATCCCTGAGCTGAAACCACGCAGACCACGCAGACTATAAATCCGAACCACTTGACTCGACAAAATTCCAAACCCTAAGCCCAAAGCCCCGAGGATGAGAAGACGCTGGCTGACTATGAGCTGGACAAGTACTGCGTATGTGCCATGCCTGAATTTAATGAGGTTAGGTTGGTGGGTTTATCCGGAGGCCTCATAGTAGTTCCTGTTTGGGGTTCATATATAGAATCCTGTAATGTAATCCCAAAAAGGAACTACTATGGGGGCCTCTGGGTAGGGTGTACGGTTGAGGGTCTTAGGGATTGGGGTTGACCTGAGGATAACGCTCCGGCAATCAACTCCGCAATGTCGAATGTGTACAACTTGGGGAGTCTCATAGGGACCCTGAAGCCTAAACCCCATCTTTCTTGCCGGCTTATGGGTAGTTTTCAACATTAGGGTCCCTTTTGTGGGGGACCCCAAATGGGACCATAAATTTTACACTCACCCTTATCGTTTCGAGTGGTTGCATCTATTTATAGCTCTTCGGTGTTGGAGAAGGGCCTGCAACCAAGGCACCCTGAGATTCGGAACTCCAGACTTGCCCTATACAAACCCGAAAACCTGCAATCCTCACGAGCGGGGTTCTGTGTTCAGGATTTGGGGTTTTATTAGAATGTGTACGGAGATGATAAATTGAAGTTGAAGCTACAAAGTTTAGGTGTGCTTAGTTGTTTGTTGTTGGGCGCCTACTGTTTTACGGGATGTCGCCGCTAAAATTTGCGACAATTACGGTTTCTGTCTAAGGGCTTTTTGTTGGACTCCTGCGAAACACTCAGGACCTAAGCCGTAAACCATTGCCATAAAACCTCCAAGCCCTAAGCCCTAAATCCTAGGCCCTACTGCCGGTCATCGCCGGCGCTCGTCCAGTAGATTTAGATCAAGCTCCCAAGGGTTCCAGCTATCAAGGCCCCTAAACCTTAAATCGAAAAAGTGCCAGCCTGCTAGTGCAGAGGCATTCGGTTCGAAAAGGCCCAGTTTGATGCGAATGGCTCGCGCCCCAGATGTCTCGCAAGGTTTTGCTGGTTTCAGTGTTGAGGCCACAGGAGTTCTGAGTCTCAAGCATCTTGCAGCAAAGGACCCGCCTACTTCAGGTATTCAGGGAACCCTGTGAAAGCGGCGACTAGAGTCGAAAAGTGTCGGTATTCCCCGGTACTTGTACCCTGAATAACATAGGCCGTTGACATCCCCAGAACTCACAGACTCGTTGGAATCTTCTGAAGACTCCGTTATGGTTCAGGAGGCATGTGCCAAGTTGCTGCATGCTGAGCACAATATGGCTTATGGCTTGTGCATTACACCAAAAGTCTGCAAGGGCAGCAGCCTCTGGAAAGACTTCCGCTACAGCGACTGCTGGATGCGAATCAAGAAAGCGAAACAGTGACCTGACCAGCGGCACGAGCACCACAAGTGAGGATGGCGCGTGGAACGTTACGATCACGACCATGATAACGAGGACGACGACGACGATTGCCGACGATGACGAAGAGGAGGAGGAGGAAGAGGAGAGGGAGGAGGAGGAGGCGGAGGAGGAGGAGGAGGAGGACGACGACGACATTCTCTTCAGCCATGACGCGCGTAAAGCAAATTGCTGGCATTAGGTATGAGGGAATTGCAGATGCTAAATTCAAGCTGATTGGGTGTGATGCACGTCATGCCAATCAGGTGACTACATCTTCGACGATGCCTTCTATGATGAGAAGGGTTACCATCCGCAGCCAGCCGGCTGTTGGATACCACAGGACCCTGCTTAATGGACCGAAACGCGTGAAGATTTCAAGACTCAGGATTCAGGTGCTAGCGCCAAGGATGGGGGGTTTCGGATGGAACTGAGTCCCGAATAACTTATCTTTTCAAAGATTTCTGTAAAGGAATCGTGGTAGCGAGCCTTGAAAAGACAGCTTCCATACTGAAGGTACTAGCGCAGGCATCGGGTTTACTTGGAGGGGCAGGGGACTTAATAAGTAGGGTTATAATTGGGGTAACTCCATTTTGGGGTACTTATAACGCTACTTATAACCTACTTACTAAGTCCCCTACCCCTCCAAGTAGGGTTCAACGCGCAGGAGAGCCGGAGGATCTGGACCTTGCAGGGAGGGATCAAGCGTCTCGGGTCCAACGGTTGATGATATAAATCCTGCATGACCTTAAGGACCCTAAACTATGGAAATTATGACATATTCCTCATGATGGATCATGCAGGATTTGTATCATCAACCGAAGTACCCTCAGGGGCCTCAATAATTAGAATACCGTTTTGAGGTATTAGTTGTACTATGCTTATAATAAGGAGCCCACAAAATGGTACACACACTTGCTTGCTACGTGTTGGATCCACTTCGACTCTTGAGGTTGTTTTCGCTGCCCGAATCTGTAGACATAGTACTCCACCCCAAAGCTCCTACACCCAAAACCCTACACCCAAGATCTCGCAACCCTAAACCCTACAAGTGCCTATAAGCCCTACTATGAACCCGCCTATATTATAAGGCCTATAAACCCTATAAGCCCTATGCATCCTACGGACCCTAGAAACCCAGAAACCCCCGCTTTTGCTCGTGCTTTTCCTTTTGGCTCCGTGCGAGGATTCCATCGCGCTCGGGCCTCAGCGTGATCGGCGTGTGGGGTCGGATGAGGGGTTTTTGCGTTTAGAGGGTTAGGGGGTCCAAGGTTACGGTTTGGAGTTTGGGGGGTTAGGGGGTTTAAGATTAGAGTTTAGGAGTTTAGGGCTTCAGGGTTTAGAGTTTAGGGGGTTAGGGGGGGTTTTAAGAGAAGCGTTTTTAGAGTTCAGGATTTAGGATTGGAGTTTAGGGGTTCAGAGGTTAGAGTTTAGGGGGCTTCATGGAGTGTAGAGTTTAGCAGGCTTAGGGGGTTTTAGAGTTTGGGGTTGTAGGTGTTTAGGGGGGTTTAGGGTTTAGAGTTCAGGGCTGTAGGTGTTTAGGGCTTTAGGGGTCTAGGTGGCCTATGAGGTGTGGGTTCAGGGCTTTGGGGCTTGGTCTAATAACCTAAACCTCAGAACGTAAGTAGGGTTTCGAAAGGCTGTTCAAGTGTTTCTTTACGCAAGGGTTCTGGGGGAGTTCTGGGTTGAATCCTACTTCGAGGTACAGAAACTTCGTAAGTAGAGTTGCCAGTACCTTTACGGCGGTTATACAGCGATAGATACATACTGCGTGGACATAATATATATATATATATTTATTTATTTATTTATGTATTTATTTATTTATACATATCATATGTATATATGTATATGTGTATATATGTACACACTTACTGATACATCTATACATACATAGAGAGAGAGAGAGAGAGAGAGAGAGAGAGAGAGAGAGAGAGAGAGAGAGAGAGAGAGAGAGAGAGAGAGAGAGAGAGAGAGAGAGAGGGAGAGAGACCCCTGGGTGACGGGAGCAATCCTTGCCCCTAACCCTGGCGAAAGAAAGAGCCCTGAACTTAAACCTTTGGGCAAGTGAGATTGCAGCCTTAAGTCAGTGGACACTTGGTGCATAGGAGACCCAGTACCCTTTACCTCATGGCCGTGATGAGTTGGGCCTGCCGGATTGAAGATTTCATTGTAAGGGCTTAGGGCTATGTGTCTGGTTTCTGGGTTTGTTTCGGGTTCGGGGATTTGGGGTTTCAATCATTCGGATGGTTTCGGGCTGCAGTTTCGGCACGTGTCAAGCAATGGACCATTACTCAACTGAGCCTAACTGCCTATCTCCCCTTAACCCTATAAACCCTTGTACCCTAAACCCTAACCCTAAACCCTATAAACCCTTGTAGCCTTAACCCCAAACCCCAACCCTAAACCCTATAAACCCTTGTAATCTTAACCCCAAACCCTAAACCTGAACTTTATAAACCCTAAACCCCAAGCCCTAAACCCTAAACCTGAACTTTATAAACCCTTGTGTCCGTAACGGCGACTTCTGACATGAAGAGGGACAGCAAATTGACTTTCGAGACCGGCTTGCCGGAACTTTAACCCTAAAGCCCTAAACCCCCAAACCCTAAACCCTAAAGACCAAAGCCTCGAAAAACTGTGTTGGGCAACATCTCATCTCTGACAATGCAGGGATCGCCGGCGTCCGGATGCGAACACTGTGGATCCGAATCAGCCACTCAGATCCTCGGCTGACCACAAGTCTTTTTTAGGATTTAGGGGTTCAGGGTTTTGTTTCTGTTTTGTGATAGTTATATAGGAAATTATGAGGGGAAGTAGAAGAGAAATCAAAATAGTTCTTCAATAAGCACTTTAGTATACAGTAAACCCCATACAGTTGGAAGCCGAATTAAGGCCAAATAGTGCTGGGGTTCCTTATACATTACTCTTAAGGGTTGAGGCTATGGGGTTTCCAACTTTTGGGCTTTTACTGTATTTTTTGCAAGATCAGCCCCCGACACCTTTTTCTCGGTTCGATGCCAAGAACTTAGTCGTCAAGGCTGCCGTACGAAGGAAGGCTACATGTACTCTGTGTGTGTGCATATATATATATGTATATATATATATACATAAGTACATATGTATGTATAGGTATATACTCATATTTACAGACTTGTACATAGTTTTGTTGGTTGATTCCTCTGACCACACATCAAGCTGAGTTCCTTAACAAGACCCAGTGTTGAAATTACCAAGGCACCTGTGTTCATGCACACGTCCCGGGAATGGGTTTCGAGGACTAACCCAAACATCCTTAATCCGAAGACCGCAAGACACCATTTATCAGAGAGAGCTCTTATGCTCCACGATGAACAAGAGAGAGTGCGAAGGTCACAACCTACTATGTGTTATGGGGTTCGGAGCAGCTATTTGGATCTGGGCCAAGAGCCCCAAATCGATTGAGGTATCGTCAGCGACCGTCGTGCCGCGGAGCGTGGGTAGAGCGCGCACAAAGAGGCACCGGAGGAGAACTTAAGAGTTGTGCCGCTGTTCTCGTTGAGGGTTTATAGGGCTTTAGGTAATTAAGTTGTAGCGGTCTTGTTAAGAAATAGGAATATAGTCTAGGGTTGAGCATCAGAACCCCGTTGCCAACCCCATGAAGTACAGTGCAAGCTCAGCCGAGCACAGAATCCTCACTACGTGAAACGCCTGTATAAACTCCCTTCGCGGTAGATACCTGATACGTTAAGGGAGCCGTAGTAGTGCAAACCAATCCTGTCAGACATTGAGCGCTATTGACGGCTACAAGGAGGGTCCTGGCTGTGTTTTGAGTTGGACTGCCAGGGTTTCAATGGTGTGAAATTCACAGCGTCAGTTCAGAGACTCCAACATCCTTTGAACTACTCAAGGCTATCAAGGGACTCTTTTTGTAGGGTTGGCAAGCACCTTACTTGGTGACTATAAGGAGAGATACTTCTCATACATTCTCAAAGCTAGAATAGCAAACGCTATTGACGCACACATTGGAAGTACACAGTTTGGTTTCCGGAAAGGCAGGTCAACAGCCGAAGCTCTTTTTTGCGTGCGACGTCTCACCGACGTCGTTGAACAAGGACATGAACGTTTGTTCCTGATATTTTTAGACTGGGAAAAGGCCTTTGATAAGATTGATCATGAGAAGATGTTCACGTCGCTTGCTAGATTGAACATTCCCAATGACATGTTAGACGCTATCAAAGCTCTCTACCGCATGCCAATGTTCCAGGTCAATCACAATTCACATACAAGTAGCCGTTTCACACAGCGCACAGGAATCAGACAAGGCTGTCCCCTCAGCCCTTTTCTGTTTATTCTAACGATGCATGTCATGTTTTCTGATGTAAAGGACAGCTTTAATGACACGAATCGCAGAAAAACTTTCCAGGGCATTAATTTTCAAGAGTTGTTGTACGCGGATGATACATTAATCGTTGCAAAAAGCCAAAAGACTGCCAATGACTACTTACATTTAGTCGAAGAAGAGTCCGATTACCTGCATTTGAAACTAAATCAATCGAAATGTTGTTTTCTTGCATATAATGCCAGAGGCAATATACGCTTCAAGAGTGGGGAAAGAATGAAGTGTGTGCAAGAGACGACTTATTTGGGAGCATCGGTCTCAAAACGAGTTGACCCCAGTCAGGAAATCCGTAGACGAATCTCTGCTACAATGGTCATCTTAAAAAAGCTGGACTTCTTTTGGCTTAAAGCGAATTGTAACAAGAAATGGAAGTTGTTGGTCTACAACGCCGTCATTACAAGCAAACTTCTTTATGGGTTGGAGACATTGGAACCCACAGAATCAGCGGGAAAATTGCTCAATACTTTTCAGCTGAAAGGATTGCGAAAAATTCTTCAGTTGCACACTACGTTCATTAATCGCAGCAACACAAACGAGTACGTGTACAAAAGAGCTAACGAAGTCACGAAGGCCCCAAGCGCGGGCATACACCGAAAAATCAAGCCCCTCACAGAAGTTCTCGGAGAACGGAGACTAAAGCTGTTAGGACATGTGTTACGTCGGGACCGCCAACATCCGTTGCATCAAGCCGCTTTCAAAACGCAGTCTGCTGTGCCAAGAGAAACAGAACAACGGAGAGTAGGCCGTCCAAGACAGTTTTGGACTACCACGAATATGGAAAAAGCTTGGAACATAATCACATCAAAAGATGTCTCGGTTCCGAAGGTGCCTTTCAATAAACACGACCGAGCAATACGAGAGACGATTATTGATCATGCCAGAAGATACCAACCACCTTTCCAGTGATCATACATCTATCGAACGTCGCAAGTGTGTTGGTGGGACTCAGCTATTATAAACAAATCGTTGTGAAGCAGCTCGATGTGAAGTCTCTATGTGAAGAAACTCAGTGTGAAGCTCAGTGTGAAGTTCTCTCTGTGTGAAGTAACTCAGTGTGAAAGCCTTCTATAGGAATCAAAGAAGTGTAAAATCAGTGTTTATGAACATTCATTGCAACAGTGACGCCGGGACCGTAGTAAATTAGCAGGAAGTAGGTTAGCGCCAACGACTTGTTGCTTGTGCTGCAAGTTAAGGTAGTAAAAAAAAACTTCTAGTTACCTTATTTATAACGTCTGAAAATCCTTCTTGCGAAGTCTCTTGAACCTCTAAGTTCGGGTGCCTCATGAGGAAACCCTAGCATTAGTGCAGGACGATTCAGAGTGCGGAAGATTTCGGCACAGTATCCCAGCACAGTCCCCATATACGCACACCATAGGATTCCCAAAGCCCAATCCTAGTTGTTAGCGGCCCCTAATCAAGGGAGCCCTTAGTCTCCAAGACCTATATCAATATATGTATATATGTATGTATATATACATACATACGTGTATATACCTGTATATATATATATATTTTTTTTTTTTTCAATTTGAAGACTGACTGTAAGGTGAGCAACAATCGCATGCTGGCATGACGAGGTTCTGAGCCCCGAAACTCCCACCCTGCGCCCGAAACCTTATGGTTCAGGAAAGATCCTCAAACCCCCGACCCTAACCCTAGGCATCTAAGGACTCATGTATTAAGGCTTTGGGCCCAAAGACCAGACTATATAAGGCTTTTTGGCTATTTCGATGCCTCGGGTAAATGAATGGATCCCTCTCTGGCCGGATCCGAAGCCCCTGAGCCAAGCTTTCAGCATCTGCACGCACAGCTAAATGCCGGATGTCCTAAAATCCCTCAGTCGCACACCCGGTTCAAACTTGACTTACCCTAACGTCTGGGAGTCCTTTATTTCATAGCCGGCAATTATGCGAAACTGGCGTCAAAGTTACTATTTATGTGATGAAGAGCCCTACAAACTCTCGGCCCCAACTACCCTAAACCCTACACCCTAACCCTGTCCCTCCAAGGACCTCATAGTTAGGGTCCTAGACCCCGTAAGGACCCCATAATAAGGTCCCTGGAGGCATAGGGTAAAATAAGCCAACTCGCACGCAGGCGCCAGATTTCTGAGTTCGACATCAGGGGCCCGGCACCGCCTCCCGCCGAAGGCGGCCGCGAGACGCCGCTGCGCGCGGGCTGTAATATCTATAGATTAGTCTTCCCATAATTACCCATACTATGTTGGAGGTTCCTTCTTATAATTATAGTATCCTTCTTACAATTATAGGATAAAGGGCCCCGAAACCCTATTCCTCAAAATGATTATGTTGTATAACGCCATAATATTCCCAAAAACACGAGTCTAATTCTTGATTTCAGACTCATTCAGAGGCATTTTTGGATGAGGATCATAGTAGAGCGTCTGAAGATACTACTAGGGGCCCCAATCCCTGAAAACCCTAAACCTCAACCCTGAAGCCTAAAGGTCTGCTTATGCAGCCTAGCCGAGACAGATGAGCGGTGTCTGAGCTTCCTATCTACTCTAGCTTCAAACCGCAAAAGCTTAGCACATCTAAGGACTCATGTATTAAGGCTTTTGCGCCCAAAGACCATACTATATAAGGCTTTTGGGCTTTGTTGATGCCCAGGTCAAAGCTTAACAGATCCGGTAGGGTCGGAATGATTCGTTGAGAGTATTCCCTGATCCTCCCTACTTGTATGTAGTAGCATGTTTAAGCCATACTCTGACAATGACGGCGGCCCCTATGTTTACTGGGTTCCAGTTCAAGGGTTTATGTTAAATTACCATAGTAAGGAGGCCTTATTGTTTACTATAGTTCCTTGTATGGTAACTCAAACTAACTTCTTTAACAAGAACCCAGTTTATCCGGACCCCTCCCTAAGACCCTGGAGCGGTAAGCCCCTAGCCGAAGCCTCGTTCCGGGTGCAGCGTGCGACCCACTTCCGAGAATTTGCCACCTCAGCGTCTTCCGGCAGATGGGAAAAGACAGGCTCCAGTCCTCGGGCTCTAAGGACTCATATGGATGGTTGTCAAAATTATGGTCTGTTTTTGGGTACTTAATATAATACGGCACCTAGTATTTAGGGTACCCGAATAGGGACCCTAATTTTGACAACCACCTATATCTATATATATATATATATATATGCTTTTGGTCCCTAAGCCCTAAACCTGGTCCCAAAGACCATACTATGTAAGGCTTTTGGGCTATTTGGGTGCCCAGGGGAAAAGTTTGGTGTATAGGGTGTGGGAGTGAAGGGTTTAGGGATATTCTGGGCATGAGGGTTTGTGGTCTGAAGGTTTAGGTTTAGGGCAAAAGAGTAATGGAATTCAGGATCCGAGAATATGAATGTAGGATCCGAGAGCCTTCTAAAATGTGCGACGCTAGCAGAGAATTTCACAATCTTTCGAGGATTAAAAAGGTATCTTCTCGTCGCTAGTGGTTTGGTCCTTGGTGGCTTCTTGAAGCAATTCCATACCATGCCATACCACACCCCACCATAGCATATATATATATATATATATATTACGCGGTGCACAGTTCACCATACACGCCACAGATTGCACACTGCTGGTTGCACAATGCACATTGCACATTACACATTACGTTACATCACATATATATATATATACATGTGTACATATATACATTTGTATATATGTATGTACATGTACTTGATTCGCAATACCTAACTCCTCTGTTTTTACATAGGACAATGTATCAGTCTTGCTCGTTCTCTCTGTGCGTGCGTGCGTGCGTGCGTGCGTGCGTGCGTGCGTGCGTGCGTGCGTGCGTGCGTGCGTGCGTGCGTGCGTGCGTGCGTGCGTGCGTGCGTGCGTGCGTGCGTGCGTGCGTGCGTGCGTGCGTGCGTGCGTGCGTGCGTGCGTGCGTGCGTGCGTGCGTGCGTGCGTGGGTGTGTGCGTGGGTGGATGGGTGGGTGGGTGGGTGGGTGGGTGGGTCGGTGGGTGGGTGGGTGGGTGGGTGGGTGGGTGGGGGTGTGTGTGTGTGTGTGTGTGTGTGTGTGTGTGTTTGGGTTCCGGTGTGTTGTCTCCGTTCAAGGAACTGACATGCTGAGTGTCTGAGCCGAACAATTTGAG